AGGGGCTGCCAGCAGGGAGCCATATCCGGTTGAGACCCCAGGCCCAAGAGGCAGCCTCATCTCTCTCGTTCCTCCTGGAACCTTCAAATGCCAGCCCCTCAACTGGGTGGGGTCCTCTCTCCTGGCTGAAGCTTGGGGTCACCAGGAGCTTCTGGAGACACGTGACCCAAGAAACCCCCTATCCTGGTATTCAGCATCTTCCTCTCCTCCCAGCCTCCTCCTGACATACTGCCCAAGCTTCCTAGGCTGCTATACACTTGCCTGAACATCACAGTGTAGCCTTCTCCGAGGCACCTCTGCTGGTCCTCCAGCTCTGCCATGGGCTTCTTAACAGCTGTTTGCTGGGCACCTGCTCTGAGTTGAGGGCTGGGGATAAAGCTCAGAAGAGGACACTTGGCCCTGAGGCTACTCCATGCTGCATGGTTTGTGATAACAATAAAGAGGGGCTGGTACACCCTTCCCTGCAAGTGGTCCAGACTCAGGCTCTGGGGTCAGAGACACCCTTGTGGTCACATGGGGTCTGGCCAAGTTACCTCCCCCTCTGTAGGAAAGGCCTAGTCACAGCTTTGAGCTCACAGCCAACTGCTACCAGCACAGAGTTCAGCAAAAAGTGGGCTCAGGAATGGGGCTTCCAATCACCGGGATAATTGGACCACCTTTAAAAATGCAGTATCAGTGCAGGGGAGAGGCGAGACAACTTCTACGAAAAAAAAAGGTGACTCCAACACTACATGATCTCTCCTCTTTTTTTTTTTTTAATAAAGAAAACAAGACTGATTACATACACAGAAAAGACAAAGAAAAATATGCCCCAAACACTGATAATTTTGATTGCTTTTTTTTTTGCTCCTGTTTTTTTTCTATTATCTACATTGAATGTAATAGATGTGAAAAGACATGTTTTTTCAGAGACACATCTCCTGCCCTCAGACAGCTTACAACCTGTCAGGGGTCCCCTGTTCTGAGCGCCTTCCCCTCTCCTGCAGGCTCCTGAAAGGGACAAAGCCAGGAAGGGGTTATCAGCCTCCCGGGCCACAGGGCTCAGTATTCACGTGACAGACCCGGTGGAGAGTCCTGAAAGACCCAAGGGCTTAAGCCAGGACCCTCAGTGCCTCAGTCCTGACGTGGTGACGGGCCCTGGAAGGGAGGCTCCAGGCGTCCAGGCAGGAAGTTTTGGCACCGTGTCCCCAGGGGGAGGCAAGCTGAAGTCCAGTGGGTTCCAGGGCCTGAGACTGGAGGGGCCTCTCATCTGACAAGCACTAACAAGAGGTCCCCAGTGGCCCCCCAGCTCCTACCCAGCACCCCCACCCTCGCCACGACCCTGCAGGAAGAAAGAAGCAGGACCCTTGGTTCTGCCCTGACGCTGACTTCCTGTCTGCCCAGGAGGTGAGTAATGTCCGCTCCCCACCCCCCGCATCCCTTCTGGGGGCCAGGCTTCACATTTTCCGCTCAGGAAGGGGCAGAGCGAGAGGCCTGATGAAGCACATCAAGGGGAAATGGAAGAAGCAGAGGGCCCTGGCCTGGCCAGCCTCTGATGTTCAGGGACGCTGGATCACCTGCCCAGCCTGCGCCCCTGTTCACTTACTCATTTAATAGACAGTCCTCCACCTGCTCTGTGCCAGGCGCTGTCCTGGGCACCAGAGAACTGGCTCTCAGAGTGCTTACTCAGGATCTGAGGAAGAGATGGCCATCAAACACATCATCCCACTGACGGGACGTAACTACACACAGATGTGCTGTTCAGTCCTAAGGAACGCCCGACCATAGCATCTCTGGACAGTCTCAACAGTTGGCTTTTTCCAACTGTCCTCCTCTCTACCTCCCAAAATGCAGCCCCTGGGCCAGAGTGTTTTTCCAGGCACCTATGATGAGACCAGGGTTCTGTTTGGACTCCAAAGAAAGTTGAAACCCCCAGCTGCTGCGAAGTGCCAGTCTGGGGGGACCTGGCTATACATGGACTGCAGGGAGTGGTGGAAAAGCCTGGATCACTCAGCCCAAGAAGGCAGTGCTCTGATTTCCCAGGGGGGCAGCCTCCTCTGGTCCCCATACTCCCATGCTCATCTTCTGGGGAACCTCACACATGGCCTCAATGCCTGCCAAAGAGCAAAGAGGAGAACAGCCTTGGCATCCCCCAACTCTGGCCAGATGGCCCCAGTTCTCTCACTGATCAGCAGTTCCCTCCTGAGCTGGGGTGAGAGCCATGTGCTCACCCACAGTAGCTCCGCCCTGATGAGGAAGCACTTTGGGGTTCCCCAGCCAAGCACCCCTGCTGTGATGTCAATAAGCTGGGAATGGGGTCCATGAAAGAGCTCTCTGATGTGAGGCCTCAAGGGTGGTGGCAGGCTTGGGGATGAAAACACCACCAAGCACTCTCCCATTCCCAGTGAACCGCAGACAAGCTCCCAGGAGTGAGAAACGGCCTGATTCATTCCTGGCCTTGGCCACGGGATCTGCCCCGCCGAGGCCCAGCCTCCATCTGCCTCGGTTAAAAGAGGAAGAGGTGGAGGAGGTGGTGGAAGAGGAGAAGGGCCCCAACACATCCACCAACAGGTGTGAACCTGTGCAAACTGCCTGGTTTTTTTAAATGCTCTGGGCTGTACTCCTGGCCAGCAGGGGTGGGATGTTCCTTGACACAGCCCTGGGAGCCCCCACATTTTCTGGCTGAAAGAAAAAGCCCCAGGTGCTCAGGCTGCGGAGGAGGGCGGAAATCCTCGGGAACAAAGAACCCGCTTGACTTGGCCCCAACAAGGAGCCGACCTCTATCCCCCTCTGGCTGGTGCGCTCGGGGGCTGGGGGTGGGTGGGGAGGGATTCAATAAACGCTCGTTCCTTTACTCATTTGGGCAACAGATATTCAGCAGGCCCCTGTAATGCGCCAGGCATGCAACCAGAGTCACCAGGGACAGAGCAGAGAGCAGGATCCACGTGGTCCACCCCTTACAGAGCTCACAATGGGGGCCTCAGACATGGAGGGTCGAGGGAGCCCACCGGTCGGGACAGACATGGCGGTCACCACCAGAACTAGGACCAGAAGGGCAGTAAAGACGACCAGGTCAGCTGGTCTCTCTGGGCCTGCGACCCTCTGCGCTGGGTGTGGGTTGGCCTCTGGCGGGCACATCAACCCACAGCCTCCAGACACAGGCTCTGATGAAATAATTAAATTGATGGTATCATGGTCAACACCGTCCTCCCTGTCTCCAGCTCTGGCTGCCTGCCCTGATAAACACCCTTGTCCTTCAGCAAGCTAGCCGGCCTAGGCCCCAGCACCCACAGCCAGGAGGGACCTGGGCAGCCGGGGAGGGGTGGGGCGGGGAGGACATGTGTGAAGACACCTGGCTGTCCCAGCTGGCTCCTCTGGGACCAGCTGCGGGGACACACTGATCCTATTAGCCCTGAAGCTGAGGAAGCCATGTGACCCTGACCCCCTCCCCTGGACCTGATGCTGGAGGCTCCTAGTTCACTAGATCTCCCTGGAAAGTGTCTCTGACAGACATGAGCCCCCCAAAAGGTGGCTGTAAGCAATAACAGCATAAGCATTTTTGAGGATGAGCTAGGGGACTACGGCCCCCATTCAGTCCTACTACTTGGGGGTTTTTATAAATAAATGCTCCGGATCCTTCTTGGGAAGGTACTATTGACAGCCTTGGGCTGAGCTTCACTGGTGTGGCCCTTGGGTGTGGCCCTCAATCAGCTCAGATGAGGCAGGAGGCTAGCTGCTGGGCACATCTCACCCCAGGGCGCCCCCACCCCAGCACGCGGTACCCCCACCCCAGCCCCCCAGCCGTGAGAATGCTGGAAGGCGGTGCTGGTCTGGAAGGCAGCACAAGGGGGTAGTGCTGACCCCCTGAGGCGTCAAGGGACAAAAGCCTTTTCTTTCCCAGCAGCCTCGCACCCCATTCCTCACAGAACCACACCCGGGGCTCCCCAGCCCGTGGATGGGCCACCCCGGCTGTCTCTGTGCTGGGTCTCCTCCCAGACAAAGCCAGATTTCAGGCCTGTGAAGGCTGCAGGGAGGCAGGCACACGGGTTCCGCCATGGAGACGAACTTTGACCCAAACTGCAAGGCTCCTACTCCTTATTTACTCTTTTAAGGCTAACCTATTTCGCAGAGTTAACATTACACCCCTTTTTAACCCTGCACCTTCCCTCCCACATTCCAGGCCCCGACCTTCAACCCCTCCTAATTGCAGCTCTACACCCCAGTTCTCTCCAGCTCTTCCCCCACCCACCTTATGTCCTCCTGGAAAATCAGAGCCCAGCCCAGGACACTCTGTCCACAGGTGCCACTGCACACCCACAACCACATCTAACTGAGGTAGGCCCAGTTTGGGGGGCTTGACGCAAGAGTGCTGGAGTAGACCTCTGGGGTCTGACCCTGACCCCAACTCTCCTACCCCAAGAAGATGCTTCTGTTCCAAGGGAGGCTGGAGGAGGCTGCCCCGCTGGCCCTAGGGGGTGGGGGCGGGGGCCAGGGCCAGGGTAGATCTGGACAGCTCCTCAGCCAGCCCACCTCTTATCCTGAGGGGCTGGGGCACACCACAGACAGGCATACTGCCTGCTCGCGCACCAGGGAACGACAGGGACCCTGTCTCAGAGCCTCACATCCGGGCCACGAAGCCCAACTCCTGTTTTCATGATTGGGTGGCTGGACTGTTCTGGGTCAGGCACACTGTTAACCTTCCCAGACCTGAATCACGATAACTTTGAAATCCACATCCCACCAGCCCGTGAGCATCAGAGCAGACAAACTGGCAGGATGTGGTCAGGCTATCAATCCCCAAAAGAGCTCTGAGCCATTCACCTTTGGGAGGAACAACTGCTCTTCCTGGAACTAAGGGCTGGGGCAGCAGGGCCCGTGGAGATCTGAGAACGCTGGGGGCCGCTGTCAGCCTGAGCCTCAGCCACCCTTGGAGGCTCCAGCCCAGAGTCTACCCCCTGGGGATTCCTAGGCTCCTGGCGCAGACACAACCCTTCCCCTGCTGGCCACAAAGGAACACTCACCGTCCTCTTGGCTGTGGAGGTTTTGTGGGCTCCGCATCCTCTCGTCCTGGCTGGGACTCAGGCTGGAGGCCAGGTGTGGGTCAGCTGACATCCATGTGGAGTCGTTCATATCAAAATCTTCACTGCTCACAGAAGTTTCATCCTGATCAGGGACAAAGAAGGTGGGTGTTCAATAGGGATGGGCTCTCTGCAGCCCCTAGGCAGCATACAGGGTGAACCCAAGGGCCCAAGGGTGTTTGGGAGTTCCCCCACAGGGCACCCCCAAACCTTGCAGTGGGGGCGGGTTTATCCCCCTGCCCGCCCACCCATGGAAGTGGCTGGGGCTCTGGTTCCTGTCGGAAGCTGGGGCTGAGGGCTGCGCTGGCTGTAATTGAAGACAATTAGGAGGTCTTGCATCCTGTAGGGGCGGGTGGCAAGGCCTGGCTCTTACCCCTGTGAGCCAAGGTTGAAGCAGGCGCCGTAAACAAGGGCCACTGCTCCCCACTCCCTGCCAACAGCCTTGGGAGGAGGGTTCACTTCACGTAGGGCCAGGCGGGCAGACGTGGGCAGCAGGACACGTCGGGCACTGCCGAGGCTGGGCTGACGGCCCCCACCACGCCGGCCGCCCAACTCCCGTGGAGCATGCATGGAATTCCTTTCTCCCACTCCCCCAGCCCAGAGGACATTTCTGTCTTCCTCCTTCCTAACCTTTGCTGTGCTTCAAAGATATGCTCTTGGGCGGCTTCCAGAGCTGAAAAGGCCAGCCCCAGAAGTATAGCGAAGGAAGGGGGTGGGGCAGGCAAGGGTTTGGATCAGACCGCAAAGGGGGTTCGGCTCAAGGGCCTGGGGGGCCTCCAGGGCCTTCCAAACAGCCGGAGGGCCTGCAGGCGAGGACCACGCCTGCCTCCTCTCCCCTTGCTGGCTTCAGTGAGCCCTGGGCCAGGCATCCGGGAACCCCCGGGGCGGGGCCCCTTCCACCCAGCCCTCCAGTGGGAAGGGACCCCACCTCCTTCTGGCCCAGCCTCTTTCAGGAGCAGCAGCTAGCAACTGTGTTTGGGAGCTGGCTGTAAAACGCAAGAAAGACGACCCAGCAGCTCCCACACCCTGGAGCTCTGGCTTTTCCCCCTCCCCTCCCCCGTCTGGCGAGATACAATGGCCTCTGTGGGCCCCCAGTAAGGACCTCTGGCAGAGCACCATCCCCCCCAAAGCCTCCCTCCATGGGCCCCTCACAGAGGTCTCTTTTACAGCAAGCAAACACACTCGGGTTTGAACTTTCTTCGGCTGCTGTCCGAGGCAGACACATCTGCTCTGCAAGTGCTAGGGAACCAGTGGGTGCTCCTCCATGCCCTCCCCCACCAGCCTGGCTGGCAGGGAGTTTCCTGGAATTTACAGCTTCTGGGCAGCACAGAGGAGTGGATACCCTCTGCGGCTGAATCAGGAGGACAACAGCTCTGCCCAGCTCAGGGGTCCCCACGCTGCCTGCACAGAGACCACGTGTGCCCTAGGGGCCCGCCCCCCCCACATGCAGCCGCCCTGCCTCCCTCCCACAGGCTCCCTGCTCCTCACACACAAGGACGCGCCCCCACAGCCGGCCCTGGGTGGAAGCCCGCTCACTCACCCTCACTCAGACTGCATTCTCACACCTGGAGGGACACACGCACGTTCAAAGGGTTCTCTCTGCAAAAAGGGCAACACGACTCTCCCTGCGCTAATTGGGCAGCGGCAGGAGGGTGACGGTCAGTGAGCAGGTGGGGAGAAGGACCCTCGGAGGGGTAGGGCCATCTAGGTTCTGGGAGCCAGGAACTGGGCCATCCTCGAGTGGGCTTTTGGCTCCTTCCTGGCCGTCCCGGGGTCACTGGACCCTGAAGTCCCGGCTGAAGCTCCTGGCTCTTGTGGAAACACTTTGGCTTAAAGAACCAAGTAGTCTGTTAACATCTGGAAGCACTACCCACTCAAAATGCACCATCCATTCAACAAGTTATTTAATGAACATCTATGTGAAAGTCACTCAGTTGTGTCCAACTCTTTGCGACCCCATGGACTATACAGTACATGGAATTCTCCAAGCCAGAATACTGCAGTGGGTAGCCATTCCCTTCTCCAAGGGATCTTTCCAACTCAGGGATCAAACTCAGATCTCCTGCATTTAGATGCTGGAAAATTTACCTGTGGACAAGTCATGGCCTTCCTGGTGCTCACTGTGGAGAGGGACAGCGGGGGAGAGGGACCATCAGCAGAAAAACTCATAATATCGGGAGTGTTAGGGCAACACAATAAAGACTAAAGCAGGACAACAGGGGCGAGGGACCTGCAGGACTGTATTTCCCCGGGTGGCCAAGAAGGGCCTCAGCAGTCAGGGGCAATCAGAGCAGAGGCTTGCAGAAGTGAGGGAGGCTGTGACAGGCAGTCCATGAGGGGAGCTGGTGGGTCCCAGCACATGCTGGAACACATGCTGGCACAGGCTGGTGGGTTCCAGCAGGCAGTCAGGAGGTCACTGTAACTAGGGGATGGGTGAGCTGCGTGGGCAGTGAAGCCATTCAGCGGTGTCTCCTCCTAAGGGGCGCATAATCCCAGGTGGGCATCTTCCACTCAGAGAAAGGAGTTCCACTAAACATACAGGTTTTCTTCATCAAAGAGCAAGGGAAAGTCAGAACCACTGGGTGCAGTGCTGAACCCCAGCTCTAGCCCCACTCGGCCACAGTTTAAAATAACAACGATGGAAGCCATGGTTTATCAGTTGCCAAGTGCATCACAGGCCCACTGGGTGCATGCAGTTATCAGCCCCATTCTACAGATGAGGAAGCTGAGGCTCCAAGGGGTGAAGGCACTCGCCCAAGGTCATGAGCTAACAAGTGGCAGAGCCAGAGGTGTGCAGTCCTGAAGGCCCAGGTGCTTGCTTCCTTCCCAGCCCCTCACCTGGAATGCCCACGGTGCTGCGGCACCTCAGAACCCAAACTCCAAACGCGTGTCCCCCTTCTCCATCAAGTCCAGCTCAGGCTCCATCGCACCTTGCCTCACACTGCCTGCCTGTCTGTACCATCAGCCCAGCAGTTGGGCAGCAGAGAACTCAGCTGCAGTGGCCAGCACAGTGGCTCTCTGCCCTCTCTCCCCACAGACAGCCTTAAGTCCTTCCAAGAGTGGGGAGCGGGCTCTATGTCCTCTGGACAAAGCCAGTGAGACCAGTCAAATTGGCTGAGTTGCCTGGCATGACACAGGGGTTTAACGAGGATGCGGCATCAGTCTGACAAGCAGGGGCTTGGTCCTGTTACACATGGATCCTGAGGAGACCATATGAAACCTGGACCTTGGCTGGCAGGCGGGTGCAGCGTGCTGCCATGCAGCATTCCCTGCCTGCAGCTGCCAGGCGCGCCCATGTAGAGCCTCGGGTTTCTCTGGCTCAGATCACTTAACTGTCCGCCCAAATGGCCCCCCTCCACGTCTCCCTGCCCGGATAGGCCAAACTGGGCAGAGGTGGGCTACATTTTACACTGAACTGCGATCACCCAATAAGGAAGAGCGCCCAGTGCCCATCCATGAGGGGCTCTGAGACGAGGGTTGTCTGAGCTTTCCTTGTCCAATAGGAACAGCAGGAGCCCGTGTCAGGCCCCTCTCCAGACCTGGTACCCGCCTCCCACCCTTGGACCTGCCTTAGTTGCCCCAGGGCTCGTGAGATCTGATGTGCTCAGCGCCCACATCACAGTCCACCACTCCAAGGGGTCAACCTCACCACACTTCCTCCTTTTAGTCGAAAGATTCCTTAACAACAAAGCATCTCAGGATGAGACCCAAAGGAAATTCACGGGAGATGAAGCTATATTTACACCCACACCTGGACCACTCTTATCAATGAATAGATGCGGACTGATGGACCACCTACTGTGTGCTGCTGCTGTGTTAGGACTCCTTCCCTCCAGGGCCCTGTTATTTAGGGAAGGACAGAGAAAACTTTAGACCCACGTGTAAGCCCTGAAGGAGAAGGGGGCTGGGGAACCCCCTCTCCAGTTATCCACTGACTATCAAGCTCGTGTGCCCACAGCACCCATGAATCCCTGTTCTGTGGGTGATGGTTCTATTTAAGCTTTTGGCACCACTGATACAGAAATTTTTAAAGATTTATTTATTTTTATTTGGCCCCTTAGTTGTGGTCTAAGTTGTGGCATGCTGGATCTTTAGGCATCTAGTTCCTCCACCAGGCATCAAACCCTGGCCCCCTGCACTTGGGAACGCAGTGTCTTAGCCACTGGGCCACCAGGGAAGTCCCTGATACAGTAAATTTTTAAGTAAGAAATCAAATTTATGATGCCTAACTTAAAAAAATACACCAAACTATAAGTTCCAATCAAAATCAACTCCCATATCCTCACTTCTGGGCGGGCCTGCCGAGAGAAGGCTGCCCAAGCCCCCTTTGCCATCCATCTGCTACGGCACCCTGCAGACTGTCACCTCACCGGCTCACACCAGGCCCAGGCTCCAGGAGCAGGCCAGTGACACAGGCAATTACCAGCACGTAATTCAGAGCCCGTCAGCGATGAGCAGAGTGGGACATAGCTGGGCCTGAGGGACCTGCAGGAGGTAATGGTGAGGGTTACAGAGAGCAGGCCCAGAGATCACAAGTCGGGCACTCTGGAATCTCAAGGAAACTTGGTCTACTAATTTCTCTTTCTGTAAACAAACTTCATTGAAACTTTCATTAAAAAATAAAGGAGTGTGTATAATCCATTACTTCCGGGGTCCCTCTCCCTAGACCCCATGTGACTCCTGACTCTGGCTTCAGACACCCTACAGGCTGCAGCCTTGCCCACCTGTTGACAGAAGGTCATCATTTATTTGGCGCCAAAGGACCTGAGCCACTTGCGGAGTCACAGGGTGATCGGGTCAACTGCCCTTCTGGAAAGGGAACTCAAGAGCTGGGGGTGGGGGGCGGCGGCCGCAGGAAGACAGCACCCAAGGCTGCTCCTGGGACACACCCCAGTCTGGGAGCCCTGACTCTGGGCAGGAGAGGAGACGACCAGACCCTCCCTGCTCTTATCTGCAGTCCAGAATTCACGGACAGGTTCAGTTTCTCTCCACCCAGGTTCTGAGGCCCTTCCTCCTCTGCAGGCAAACTAGCACCAACCGCTGCCCAGCCCAGGAGGAGGAGAAAATGGGAGACCAGAGGGGAAA